TTCTTGAATTTTTTGCTTTTACTGACAAGCCTAATGCAATTTTCTGTTGCCTTCAATAGTGCAACTTTTAAATAATCCCATTTTTCTTGGACTCCATTTAAATTGCTCCAGTCTGATAATGACTCCTCTACCCATATTCTAATTTTAGAAAAGTCTGTTTTTCTAAAGTCTAAAACTTTTGTTTTTGTGTGGTGTGACTCAGTCACTGTTCTTATATTAAACCACACTGACTGATGATCACTGGATCCTAAACTTTCACCTAAGCAGATGTCACCTGCTACTGTCCTAGTGTGCTAAGGGGGCAGTACTGAACTAGCAAGAGATTACAAGTTCAGCTCCTCTTTGTTAGAGAATGCTAAAGGTACCATGTTAAAATCTATTTTAAATCTAACAATTTAATTATGTTTAGTTTGTTAAAATGGTGCCTGAGAGGGGATATGATAACATTATACAAATATATTCGGGGCCAGTACAAACCTTTATCTGGAAATCTATTCATAAACCAAGCTATACATAGGACACGAGGTCACACATTTAGGCTGGAAGAAAGGAGATTTCATCTAAGGCAAAGAAAAGTTGTTGTTTTTTACGGTAAGAGCAATAAGGATATGGAATTTTCTGCCTGAATGGGTGGTTTTGTCAGAGTCAATACAGATGTTTAGACTGCAATTGGATAAATACTTGCAAAAACATAACATACAGGGATATAATTTCTAATTAGTGGGGTAATAGCTGCTTGATCCAATGAGACATCTGACTGCTATTTTGGGGTCAAGAAGGAATTTTTTTCCTAGTTTGTTGCAAAACTAGAAGCGCTTCAGACTAGGTTTTTTGTCTTCTTTTTGATCAATAGCAAAAACATATGTGAGGAAGGCTGAACTTGATGGACGCAAGTCTCTTTTCAGCTATGTAACTATGTGTGTCTTTTTCTGAACATAGGAGCTATTTGCTCAGCTTGGTAGGAAGAATGACCCATAATTGATTATAATGCCAGGGTAGGGTTAAAGACCAATAGTAAAATTAAGGTTCTGTCAAAGATTAAACATTTCAGACACTCTAATACAACGACAAGAAGAATAAGCAGTACGTATGTGTTACACAGTATTTTTCGATGTCTGTCATACATGGATGGATATGCTCACACCATGGTTACAGTGGGACTTGGTGTGTTAATTTCCTAGATTAATTTATGGCAAAACCGCATTAATAATCTCAGTGTATTTTTTTTTAGGAGATGAATCCATGAACACAATTAAAGATGAAGTATATCACATGCCAGTAGTGAGTGAATACAGAGTTAAAAATCAACCAGTGGAAATATATCTAACTCTTAAGAAACCAAAGACAACACTGGGTTGCCCTTTAACCTGTAAGGGAGGGGAATCTGCTTGTCAAGAACAACATTTCCCAAACACCAACATTTCTAAACTCACAGATTGTGCACACATTGAATATCCATCTATTCCGATCAAGGAGGAACCAGCCTCTTGTGACGAAGGAAGTCTATCAGATCAGGCTTAAACCAACCTCGCCACTGTGAACTGGAGAAGCCTGCTGCTCGCCTGCTCCCTTTGGACTATGGCCCTGCAGGTTAAACCGTTTATTTCCCCTGCAGAAAGGCTTATTTGTGTGATCTGAGTGCCATTCATCTAATAATGTGCACTCAGATCCCAGCTATCTGGGAATATGTGAAATGTCTGTGTGTTATGTGTAAATGTGACTTTATGTATTTTAAAGTGTTTTGTGTCTTTTTGCAACCATGTGCTTAATGGAGTCTTGTGTCTGTCCTGGGAGATAATTGAATTACTCTCCAGGATAGAAGACTCTGAAACTGGTTTTGGGCCAGAAAGCCATGCTTCATTTAGTCACAAAGGACTTTCCCTTAACTTTTGAACCCCTGGTCTGATTTGCTTTTACTTTTGAATATAAGTTCCCCGAATGGATTGGATTGTGAATATGTAATTTTATGCAATGTGGATGTATGGTTTTGAGTTATGAAAGCTAAGTAGAAAGTATGTTTTAACTGTATGTATAATTGAGTTTCCTCTCAGGATAAGGGGAGGGAATATGTGGGATGTAACTGATATGTGATTGGTTGTTTTGTAAACGCCCTGTGGGCTGTACCTATGCTTCTGTGGGATTTGGGAATAAAAGAGACTGTATGTGACAGTACAGAGAGTTCCTGTTTTAACCCTCAAAGTGAAGTGTCGCCTCATTATTGGGGGAAGGATTTATTGTATGCTGTTCCAGTTTGACTGCTAGGAGAGTAAACCTATTCGTATGGTTCCTATTCAACTGTCTACAGCATTCATATGCTTGAGAGGATTCATATGCTTCTCCGTTCGGTGGTTGTGGTGTCTGCTGCAGTGCTTGGAGTCCTCAGGAAGCGCTAGGAGCATCTTTCAACGGAGGTACCCAGGCGGGGTGCCAGGCGATCCGTTACATTGGTGGCAAGCGGTGGGATGGCGTCCTAGTGCGAGGTAAAGCAGCTCGGAGACACAGTTCGTGGATTTACAAATTGAGGGCAACGCTAGTACCCGTACAGCGACCCTATCTACAAAAGAACTAACTTCAGCAGAGCAAGCATGGCGTATGACTACACTCAGGAGGAGTTTGACAGAGAGGTTAATGAGGTGCTGTCTACCTTTGGACCCAACCCCCAGAGAGAGCCGTGCAGCTCGCCAGGAAACTAGTAGGAGAATACCTGCAATCTCTAGTAGATTTGGCCAAAAAGGAGTCCCAGGGAGCTGAAGTTGTCGTCCTTCCTCCCCAGCGGCAGTGTGTGTCCCAGGGAGCTGAAGGTGCCGTCCTTCCTCCCCAGCGGCAGTGTGTGTCCCAAGGAGCTGAAGGTGCCGTCCTTCCTCCCCAGCAGCAGTGTATATCCCAGGGAGCAGAAGGTGCAGTCCTTCCTCCCCAGCGCAGTGTGTACCCCAGGGAGCTGAAGGTGTTGTCCTTCCTCCCCAGCGGCTGTGTGTACCCCAGGGAGCTGAAGGTGTTGTCCTTCCTCCCCAGCGGCTGTGTGTACCCCAGGGAGCAGAAGTGTCCTCCCCAGCCGCAGTGTGTGTGTCCCAGGGAGCTTTGAAGGTACAGTACTCCCCTCCCCAGCCGCAGTGTGTGTAACTTCAGGAGCCGAAGGTGTCCCTCCTCCCCCAGCAGAAGCAGGTACCCCAGGGAGCTGAAGGTGCCAGCCCCTTCCCTCAACAGCGCAGTGTATATCCCAGGAGCTTGAAGGCAGTCCTTCCTCCCCCAGCAGCAGTGTGTGTACCCCATGGCTCTAGCCGCCCCTCCTCCCCAGCAGTGTGTAAAAACCCAGGGAGCTGAAGCGTGCAGTCCTTCCTCCCCAGCTGCAGTGTGTACCCCAGGGAGCTGAAGGTGCAGTCCTTCCTCCCCCAGCGGCAGGCACCCTGTGAGCTGAAGTCCCTTCCTCCCCCAGCGGGCAGAGTGTCCCAGGAGCAGAGACCGCTGTCCTCGCACCCCAAATCACAGGACACAATGAAAGGGGAGACAGCTGGTCCCCCTCTCCACCAGCAGAGAGAGTGTCAGGGAGAGGAGCCTGATACCCCTTCTCCCCAGCGGCAGTTTACAGTTCAGAGAGAGGAGCTTGTTACACCCTCTCTCCAGCAGCAGCCTAACCCAGCAAGGGGAGATGTTACACCCCCCAACAGTGCAGATGGGACTGTAGTCTCTGCACTTACAGCACAAGGGATAGGGACAGTCGGTCCTGTTCCCCAGCCACAGAGCGGTGCATCCAGAGGGGAGACAGTCGGTCTCTCCCTCCCACAACCAGGCTCCCACCAGGCTACTTCCGTGGTAGCACTGGCATCAGGGCAGAGTACCGCTGGTCTCTGCTCACTCAGCAACCCACCAAGGCAGCCTAACAGTTGCCCACACAGTCGTGGTGAGGCACCTGGACATGGACAAAGTTCTCCTCTACCCAGGTGTAGTAACCAGTTATTGTGGGTGGACTGTACTGCTGTTTCTGTTTTGTGGGTGGGTTGCTGGACTAACCAGGGCACTGACCGGCAGGAGGTCAGATACCCTGTTAGTCTAGTTGGTAAAGGGGAGAAGTGTGGCGAAACCAACCTCGCCACTGTGAACTGGAGAAGCCTGGTTGCTCGCCTGCTCCCTTTGGACTATGGCCCTGCAGGTTAAACTGTTTATTTCCCCTGCAGAAAGGCTTATTTGTGTGATCTGAGTGCCATTCATCTAATAATGTGCACTCAGATCCCAGCTATCTGGGGATATGTGAAATGTCTGTGTGTTGTGTGTAAATGTGACTTTATGTATTTTAAAGTGTTTTGTGTCTTTTTGCAACCATGTGCTTAATGGAGTCTTGTGTCTGTCCTGGGAGATAATTGAATTACTTATCTCCAGGATAGAAGACTCTGAAACTGGTTTGGGCCAGAAAGCCATGCTTCATTTAGTCACAAAGGACTTTTTACTAACTTTTGAACCCCTTGTCTGATTTGTGCCATTTTTGAATATGTTGTTCCCCTGAATGGATTGATTGTGAATATGTAATTTTATGTGAATGTGATGTATGGTTTTAGAGTTATGAAAGTTGGGTAGAAAGTATGTTTTAACTGTATGTGTAATTGAGTTTCCTCTCAGGATAAGGGGAGGGAATATGTGGGATGTAACTGATATGTGATTGGTTGTTTTGTAACGCCCTGTGGGCTGTACTATGTTTGTGATTTGGGAATAAAAGAGACTGTATGTGACAGTACAGGGAGTTCCTGTTTTAACCCTCAAAGTGAAGTGTCGTCTCATTATTGGGGGAAGGATTTATGGTATGCTGTTCCAGTTTGACTGCTAGGAGAGTAAACCTATTCGTATGGTTCCTATTCAACTGTCTACAGCATTCATATGCTTGAGAGGATTCATATGCTTCTCCGGTTCGGTGGTTGTGGTGTCTGCTGCAGTGCTTGGAGTCCTCAGGAAGCGCTAGGAGCATCCGTCAACGGAGGGTACTCATCCGGAGTACAAGGAGCTCCGTTACACAGACACTGACATTTATACAGCCACAGGACGTGCACAGATAGAATATCCATCTATTCCGATCAAGGAGGAACCAGCCTCGTGTGACGAAGGAAGTCTATCAGACACTGACATTTATACAGCCACAGGATGTTCACAAATTGAATATCCATCTATTCCGATCAAGGAGGAACCAGCCTCGGGTGAAGAAGGAAGTCTATCAGACACTGATATTTATACAGCCACAGGACGTGCACAGATAGAATATCCATCTATTCAGATCAAGGAGGAACCAGCCTCGGGTGAAGAAGGAAGTCTATCAGACACTGACATTTATACAAACACAGAACGTACACAGACTCAATATCCATCTACTTATATTAAGGAGGAATCACCGGTGTGTGAAGGTGGACGTATAACAAATGTTAATACCTATACACCCGCAGAATGTAAACCTCCAATCAAGGAAGAATCTTTTTTATGTAAAAAAGATATTTGCACAGACAGTTCTGAACCCCTGGAACTCACAGACACAGGATACACACTCCTTGTTATAAAGGATGAACTAATCTCACAGGAAGAAGAAGATATTACACCCATAGCAAATAACTTGATAGATTCAGAGGCAACCTCATCTGAGAAAAGGGATTTCATAGATGGTTGTATTGCTACAGAATATGCATCAACGGGAAGTAAATCCACACATGCCAACGGATTCTATAATGAAGGTAATAACATTCAAAAAACAAATAGATTAACCCCGATGCAGAACAATGAATATAGTAACAATAATAATAACAATTTGCCTAAGCGGAAGAAACCATTTTCATGTCCAGAATGTGGAAAATGTTTCACTTGTAAATCAAATCTTGGCACACATATAAGAATTCATAAAGGTGATAAACCATTCTCCTGCTCTAAATGTGGAAAACGGTTTACTCAGAGCTCTGCACTTTTTGCGCATCAGAGAATTCATACCGGGGAGAAACCATTTTCATGCACTGAATGTGGAAAAAGATTTACGAAGAATACAAATCTTGTTACCCATCAGAGGATCCACACAGGAGAGAAGCCATTCAGATGTTCTGAATGTGGGAAATGTTTTACTCGGAAATTCTCTCTAGTTGCACACCAGAGGACTCACAATGGAGAGAAACCATTTTCTTGTTCCGAATGTGGGAAATGTTTTACAGGTCGAACAGCTCTTGTTACACATAAACGAATTCACACAGGAGAAAAACCATTCTTGTGTTCTAAATGTGGGAAGTGCTTCACGCAACGTTCTGCTCTCGCTACGCATCAAGTCTTACATGTGAGAGACGCTATTCAACTTTTATAACTGGGGCAAATGTGTAAAATAATATGTAAACAAATGTGTTAACATGCACAAAACAGAGGTCAATTTATATTCTGAGTAAGTTTACTAATTTGTTTTAATACATTATTGTTATTTATATAGCGCCATCAAATTCTGCAGCGCTTTACAATGGGTGGACGAACAGACATGTAGTTCTAACCAGAAAAGTTGGACACACAAGAACAGAGGGGTTGAGGGCCCTGCACAATGAGCTTACATGCTAGAGGGCAGTGGCGCACATACTGGGGTCGCAGGAGTCGCGGCTGCGACCGGGCCCGGCCCACCAGGGTGCCCGGCCGCCCCGCGACCCGGTATGTACCCAGTGTGGTCAGCCTCAAGGCCCCCCTCTTCCCTGAGGGCTCTCTGCCCAGTTCCCTCGCGCACTGCACTGATGCCGAAGCCAGAAGATGACGTCATATTCTGGCTCCGGCATCAGTACGCGGCGCGAGGGAGCTGGGCAGAGAGCACTCAGGGGAGAGTGCTCCCTCGCCCGCCCGCCAACCTGCCCGGTGACCGGCCGCCCAGGAGTACCACTGGACCCCAGGGAATCCCCTCAGCACTCCCAAAGGTAGGGAGGCTGGGGGATTAAATTTTTTTTAAAAAGTGTGTGTGTTAGAGTGTGTGTTTTAGAGTGTGTTAGTGTTAGAGTGTGTGTGTGTGTTAGTGTTAGAGTGTGTGTTAGTGTTAGAGTGTGTGTGTTAGTGTTAGTTTTTTGTCAGTGTGTGTGTTAGTTTGTGTGTGTCAGTGAGTGTATTACTGTGTGTGTGTGTTACTGAGTGTGTTAGTTTGTGTGCGTCTGTTAGTGAGTCTGTTTGGTGTCTGTTAGTGAGTGTGTGTTTTGTAAGTGAGTGTGTATGTGTCTGTCTGTCAGTGAGTGTGTATGTATGTCTGTCACTGAGTGTGTGTCTGTCAGTAAATGTGTGTGTCTGTTAGCTAGTGTGTATGCGTCTGTTCGTGAGAGTGCGTGTGTGTGTCTGTTATCTAGTGTGTATGCGTCTGCTCGTGAGAGTGTGTGTGTGTCTTCAGCACTTACCTTTCTCCAGCGCCGGACTCCCTTGGCGCTGGGGATCCCTCTGCCCCGATCCCCTCTCAGCTCCAAATGCGCATGCGCGGCAAGAGCCGCGCGCGCATTCAAACCGCCAATAGGAAAGCATCACTCAATGCGGAAGCTCCTCTAGCGGCTGTCAATGAGCCAGCCACTAGAGGCTGGATTAACACTCAGTGAAACATAGCAGTTTCTCTGAAACTGCTATGTTTTCAGTGTGGCGGAACCAACCTCGCCACTATGCACTGGAGAAGCCTGGTTGCCCGCCTGCTGCCTTTAGACTATGGCCCCTGGGAGACTGTGAAAACTTATGGACTTTTATTGGGTGTGTATGGCCCTTTAAGACAGTCGGTGGGCATATTGGGGCTTATGGACTTTTTATGGGACTGGTGCTGGCCCTTTAAGCACCTTTTTGGGGCATAGGGAAGATTGGGACACTGCCCCTTTAAGATGGTGTCCCCAGACTTGTTTGGGACACTGCCCCTTTAAGACAGTGTCCCCTGTGCCCCAGACCTGGTTAAAACCCTTTGTGCCTAGCTATTTCCCACTTGGTTCAGTAAATGGGGCTTACTGAACCAAGTACCACACAGGCGGACCACCTGTATTGGGAGTCTGTCGGCAATTTACCTCCCAGAAGTTGCAGTTAACCGCAGCTTAATTGACAATGCTGGGTGGCCTTTGTTTGTTTGCCGAACACGTGGCGGCGGCCATCTTTGTTCATTCGCACGAGGTCAGCGGTATGTGTAGCCAAATTCATGGAACTAAAATCGGCTACACATTTCCGCGAACACCGCTGAGCCCTACCTTCTCCCACAACGATTTTGCAGCCGCAGAGACTAAGTCCCATTCTGCGATGGGACTTAGTTGTTTTTTCAGCCTGAAATAGAGCGACCTCACAGCCCAAATCTATGGAACTGTTTTGGGCAGGAAAATGTGCTTGCGGTCGGTCATAATGGGACCTCCAGCTAACTTTTTAACCCCTGGATGGATTTGGCTGATTTTTGGTTATATATATATATTTGAAGGTTGCTGATTCTAAACGGCGGTTTAACCCTTTTATGCCTGGGGTGCCGTTACATTCAGCTACAGGGTTAAAACTAGAGGGACCTGGCACCCAGACCACTTCATTGAGTTGATGTGATCTGAGTGTCTGTAGTGGTCCTTTAAGTGTATGTGTATCTGCATGCACTGGCCTACATACCACGGTCACAGGGGTCGCAGGGCAGAGTAAGTTTTCGCACTGGGGTGCCTCATGGGTTGTGTGTACGTTACTGCAAGAGGGAGTGGGGTAAACTTACACAAAAAGGTAAGGATAGTATTAGACTAGTGACAGTTGCAGAAGAGGAATCAGTCGGGAGCTAGTAACAGTTTAATTGATACGCTTTTATGAAGAAGTGGGTTTTAACGATTTTTTGAAGGAGTGGAGACTGGGTGAGCATCTAACGGAGGAGGGAAGAGAGTTCCACAGGAACGGTGCAGCCCTCGAGAAATCTTGAAGGCGAGTATCAGAGGAAGCTCACTTAGTTGCACCTGAAACTAGTAGCTGCCTTGGATCATTATCCTTTCCAAGAATCCTGGGTTACGGTTTTGAAGGCTGTATGTACAGAGCCCCGTATCAGTTCTAAATGGCTTTCTCACTGTTAAGCAGAGATTCTCAGTCCCTTGCTTTGATCATAAAATGGTGGAGGCACGCTCTAATTCACACCATACCAAGTGGATGGGCTGAGAGCATCACCTTAACACTGAAACCTTGCTCCAACGCTGCCATATTGTAATTGGAGGCCGAGTCATTATTTAGCAATGATGGGGGACCTGGCACACATGAATGTGAGATACAATAACCACTTCAATCAGTCGAAATGGTTATGTTGCCTACAGAACTACTTTGCGTTTAGTTGCCCAGAAGAGATTAGTTGCCCACTAACCGCTGAATGGCAGTGAACTAAAATCTGAATAGGAAAACTAATTAAAATAGGCAAACTGTGCCTATAAGATAGTTGGGGAATTTCTCCTGATTAGCTGCTTTTAAATTTAGAATTTAGAGAATAAACCCACCTAAATCATCAGTGTTACTGTGCAGTGGCATATTCATTCATCATTCAAAAATTAATTTAGGAAAACACTCCAAGCACCTTAAATACTCCAGAGCACTGTAGTGGCTAGGGTGCCACGAGTTCCCTTGAGGTCCCCTTACGTAAGTTGACAAACCATTTGATGTCTGACCTAGAGTGCTGCTTCCTGCCTCTTCCTTGTGGTATTGAGAACCAGAAGCTCCTGCTTGGAGCTCCTGTACTTTGTCATAATTAACTAGCAACTTAGTCAGCTTTAAAGGCAAAATGAGGTGAACTGTATCTCGAGAATGGTGGGTTACATTTTGTTTGTGACTTTAGGAAAATCGTCTGAAATGGCCAGCAACTAAGACATGTTTTATTTTGCTGTTTGGAGAAATTTACAGCAGGTATCTGGTTGTTTGGTTAGGTGCTCTTTATTACTTATCAGATATGGCCCAAGCTGTCAGAAAGAGCTTGAGAAACATCACTCTTGCGATATACATTACATGTTAAATGAAGAGTCATTCACGTCAAGTTCTGGAAGTGATTTTAGATGTAATTTTCTTTTGAGTACATTATATATGATATATATAGCATGTTTGTCACAAATGAATTGTCTGGATTTACTAAGATGATCTGGTATGGTTACAAAGACATTAGGAGTATCTGTACATAAATATGTAGCACTGTACATTTTCATCCAGGTTTGGAATACAATATTACCATGAAAAAAAATCCCTTAAGGGAGTAGATGGCGTACTGGAAAGATCTCTAGTGGGGATAACCCACAAACAAACTACATAGACATTGATAGTCTGATGTACCAAACGATATATAAGATATGGTCATATATATCTTTTGGTATATTAGACTATCAGTGTCTTTGGAAAACAATATTCCTGCTCCACCCACGGCCCCTCCTTAGGAGTGCCACCCAAAAACACAAGATGAGCCAAAAAGTGTATAGAATCTCAGATGAAACCAAAAAAAATTGTAATCCATTTTGAGAGCCACATTAAATTTGCAGTGGATTACCATTTTCTTACCAAAAGCTCTCTTTAAGACAGAAATACTGGTACTTTGCTAGTATGTAGGTATTAAGGTTTTCTGTTCATTTTTTCTTTTGTTTGTGTTGTGTAATTTTTTTGTAATGTTTTTATTTGTATGCACTGTAACAAATTCATAATCAATGTTCCTTTATTAAGTTCTGCCTTTGTCTGGTATAAGACTTACATTACTGAATTGACATGGATATAGTACTGTGATTTCATAGACATTTTTGGTTAAATTATGTTTGTGGCAAACCTAGCCACTTGGACAATATACAGAGACTATGGCTTTAAGGGTTGCCTGTATGGTTTTGGTGAGTAATGTAATGTGATTGTATAATATTGTATTGCCTGCATTGGCTATCTGTCGAAAGCAGATAGCTGTATTTCATTTCGTTTCACGAACAGCACCTTTGCGGGCTGTTCGTGAACCGAATAGACCAACCTGTAATATCCCACACATTAAGAGACGTGTGGCGCTTGTTAACCGATTGCAACAATGTTGCAATCGTTAATTAGAGGCTGTCCTAGGTGGCCGTCGTTCGGCTACCAACCACGCGGCGGTCGGCCATCTTGGATCCTTTGTTCATCCAGCAGTGTTCGGTCGTCGAGCGCGTGGTACTGAAAACGGCTACTCGACGGTGCGAACCCCACTGGACTTCCAGGCCGTTCGGGAGTTACGGGACTTTCGGTAATTTACTCCCTGTATGTCAATCAGTCGTTTGAACGTAAATGTTGGTGAATACGTTTTTCGTGCGGCGTTCGGTTGTTTTAGCTGGGATCTGAGCGGTAATCTCACGAATTGTGTGCGCAGACCCCAGTTATCTACCGAACGTCCATTCGTGAAAATCACCCCAATATTGGGGAAGTTATAAATTTTTATGTGAATTGTCGGTTCTGCTGCACGGAGGGATAATTCACTTAACTGTACAATCCAGTGGGAGTGTCCCTCTCGTGCAGCAGTGCCTGATGGGAGAACGGCTCTGTACATTATGTACATTCCTATTTAGTCCACTCCTGTAATACCCCTGTGATGTGACTCAGGAAACCTCTTGCATGGGGAATTGTATAAATTCTGGAGCCTGTGAATAAAGCCTCAGTTGACTCCCAGAACTGGGTTTCGACCGGTTACTGGGGGATTTGGGATATTGTCTTACTTTTCAGCGCTGACTGTGGATTACTGTATGTACCAGCGGAATTCGTGGGTTTTAATATTGCCGGTCCGCTACAGTGTTTTGTCAATTTTTCATCTAATCTGGACCAACGACTCCCCATTTTACAATTTCCCAGTGGTGGCAGGTTTTATAACCCTGCTCCCTTTTTTTCTCAAAGCATCTGGAAAGACTTGTCTTTACCCATCTGACTTGCTTCCTCAATTCCAACTCTCTCCTTGACCCTCTTCCGTCTGGATTCCGCCCCCTGATTAAAGTTAAAAATGATCTAATTGGGGGGCGTGTCTGGCACCTGGAGAACACAGCCGCTTAATCACTGAGCTCCCCGCTTGGGGAAGGGGACTAACTGCACAACGCTCCTAGTAATCAAAAGGTGGTATGCCATACAGATAGCAAGCTTGCTCTACGTACCACATGGGAGGAACCCAACCACTTTGGGGTGGGAGAATGGGATGCAGGACATGCTTTTACAGCAATGGTGGACTCGGGGACCATATGGGGATCTATATGTACCCTTACTCCCACCCACACCCTAGACGGCGAGACCACTATCCCTAACCAAAAAAACATATATACATATACCTAGCAGTTAGATAATAGGTTGGGGGATTGTACCTAGCTCCGAGAGGGGAGACACTACACATGGCCACTCGCCCCTCACCTCACCAGGTCACTATGATACCAAGGGCAGGCCAGGGGGAAACTGGCACAGAGAGGCACAAGCTGAATCATTGTCTTTAGCAATCGGCTAATACGCCGCAAAGGTTGATGTCAAATTGCCACCAACACTGTACACAATGAACCAGGACTGAATGCTTGCATGACACGCCATCACTTTGTTATGCACCTGCACAACAGACTCCCTTATTGCAAAGCAACTAGAACTGGGGGGAAAGAGGTACAACCCAACGTTACAGAGAGATAGGCTAGGATTCCCAAACCTGGAACCCCGCCCACTGCGCAGCCAGCCCGTGGACAAACGCCTATACTGAGATAAACACCCCTGGGATCCCCAGATTTAGTGGACCCCCCCGGGGCCCACTTCGGCCCTCACCACTCAACCCACCTATCCATATAACTGAGCTAGAGCTCGCTACCCAGACCAAACAAACAGACACATTTTAAAACCCCATCGTCCATCACAGGAGTACCCCGAGAGTTAGACACAGAAACCGCCGAGGCAGGCAGAACCACGTCCGAATAGACCCATCCACAGCTATAAGAATGACCACTCACAACAGACAACCCACACATGCACCGCAGCGAGAGGTGTAGCAGACACACTGGATCCCAAGGCCACATTGGAGACAGGTACTCCCATACCACACTAATATAGAGACACACTAATATAACGCACCCCTACTAAATAGTAGGTAGAGCGAGATGCTATAAGGCAGGACTCACCACCCTAGACTGGCAACCCGCTGCCCCCACAGGGACAGGACATAGCTATCCCCCACTAGGGGGGTGAGACTCCAACCCCGGAGTAGACCCAGCTGGAGCGAGGAGCCTGACTACCAGGAAACTTGTACGTTAACCTATACCCGATCCGGGTTCAGACAGAGCAGCACGAACCACTGTCGGCTTGGTTCCGCACCCAGATACAGCCACAGCAATGACACATTGCACACATATAATCACCCCATAGCCATACAACCCCCCCTCCCACCTCAGACCGCACAGCCCTCTCTGGTCGCTCCCCGGGGTAGTGCCGATTCGCCCGGGAGGATCTGTCAATCATCTCATACAACGTCAATGGCCTAAACATCCGGGAGAAGCGCTCCAGACTCCTATGGTACCTTAAACACTTCCATAGCGTTCCTCCAGGAAACACACTTCCAAGAAGGACGAGCGCCGGTCCTGAAAGATCGCAACTTTCAGACGGGATACTTTAGCAATAACTCAGACCAACGCACACTAGGGATAGGCATCCTATTCTCTACACGGATCCCATACATAGAACACACCACCATCAGCTGCAAACAAGGCAGATATGTCTTCACAAAAGGCACCATCCTGGATCAGACCTACACCTTCGCCAATCTTTATGCCGCAAACTCGGAACAACACCGCTTCCTCTGCAGCGTGCTTAATACACTGATGAAATTCACGGAAGGCACCCTGATCATCGGGGGAGACCTGAACTTGGCTCTACATCCCAAGCAAGACTCGACAGCCAGGCAAGGAAACACACCCAACAACAGAAATGCCAATACGCTCCGCCTCCTCCACCACCACCAACTCGCGGAATGTTGGCGAGCGCTACACGCATCGGCTCGCAACTACACCTTCTACTCCACGACACACTCCTCATCCACCAGACTAGACTACTTCCTCGTGCCCCACCACAACCTCATTCTACTTAAAGACTCAGAAATCCTACCCATGACATGGTCAGACCACTGCCCAATCCGCATACGAATAAAGTCACCCCTGTTCCGACCCAGATGAACCTCTTGGAGACTGAATGAGTCGATCCTCTCGGATGCACTGGAAGTGGACAAGACCAGACAGTCCATTCAAGAATATTGCACAGACAACGAATTAGGAGATATTTCGCCCTTGATGTGCTGGGAGGCACACAAGGAGGTGATCCGGGGACAACTTATCACAATATGCTCCACCCGTAAGCGGGAAGCAATACAGGCAACAACGGACCTCAGCAGGGAGATTGCAACCCTGTAAACCAGACAGAAACGCACCTTGGACGCGATGATTTACAGAGACCTGGTCATCAAACGGAATCAACTCACCACACTCCTGAACTGCTCGATACAAAGCTCATACCAACACTTCAAGCACATAATACACGAGCACGTGAACAAATGCGGGAGATTACTGCCGAATCTCCTAAAACAACGCAAGTCCCAACTGTACACCAGGCTCGAAGAGATCCAGAGATACCTGGAATCCGCGAACGTGACCAGGCTCAAAGACACTGACCGGGAAGGACTGGAAGTGCCCATCTCTACCGAGGAACTGATGCATGCTATCAAAAGAGCAAAGACGGGCAGGGCACCAGGCCCAGATGGCTTTCCCCTCTCATACTACAAGACCTTCCCCCAAGACCTCCTCCCCAAACTGCAAACAGCCCTCAATTCTATCCTGGAAGGGGCCACACCAACAGCCCAGTTCACATTGGCGAATATCACCCTTCTCCCCAAGGAAGGAAAGGACCCAACACAATGCCCAAGCTACCCCCAATCTCCGTGCTGAACACTGATCTCAAACTCCTGGTCAGTGTCCTGGCGGCGTGCCTAGCACCACTGCTACCAAAGACAGTGCACCCGGACCAAACGGCATTCATCCCAGGGAGAGAGGTATGGGACAACACCATCAGAGCCCTGAACATCATAGCCCAGTCCAGATCGATGAAGACCTCAGTCCTTCTCCTGTCCACAGACGCAGAAAAAGCGTTCGACAGGGTGGACTGGGACCTGATGTTTGGTGCACTTCGGAACCTCGGCATTGGACCAAAATACCTCGCCTGGGTAAAGGCACTATACACACACCCAACCGCCGCATTGGGATCAACGGAGCACTGACTGACCCGTTCCAGATCCATAATGGAACCAGGCAGGGCTGCCCGCTATCGCAGCTGCTCTTTGCACTGACCTTAGAACCCTTCCTTAACAAAATCAGACATAACAACATACAAGGGATGAAAATCGAAAGACCCACCACAAAACCTTGGCCTACGCAGACGACCTCCTATTTATAGTCACGGCCCCTGGTGCCTCTTTATGGGCTATCTTGTCGGAATTCGAGTCCTACGGCCAGGTTTCGAACCGCCAAATTAATTACTCGAAGTCAGAAATACTGGGTTTCTCCATCAATAATACGCTCAGACAGACGCTCCAGTGTCAATACCCATACCGCTGGTGCGACCAATGCATGAGATACCTGGGGTTCTGGCTTACACCAAACCCGGCAGACCTTTACACCCACAACTACCTCCCTACACTGAAAAAGGCGATAGAAGAACTACGCACGTGGAATTCATACTACATCTCCTGGCTGGGCAGGGTGAATGCAGTCAAGATGACGCTGCTGCCTAAACTCCTCTTCATATTCCAGAGAGTGCCGATCCTGCCCCAGACTCATTCTTCTCCACCCTGAAGACAGAGGTCCGCAAATTTGTATGGAAAGGCAGGTCCCCACGCATAGCACATTCCCAACTGACGCTGCCTAAACCCGGGGAGGCCTAGCGCTCCCTGACTTAGAGAAGTACTACGACGCGGCACACCTTACCAGGGTCATAAGCTGGTCAGCGAATAAACAAGAATGGAATACAGCTGAAAACAAAAAAATACATAACACATAGTGAAGTACAATTAGAGCAATTGGATATAACCCCCAATGGTTGCACTCACGAAATAATGTAGAGTAGTGCTGGTCAGTAGAGGGCAGCACGATACTATGGACCCAGCTGGAATCAGATATCACCAACTGTGACTTAAGGACCTTGCCGTGGATCACCAAAGCCACATACAGACACAAACATGTACTTAACCCATTCGTAACAACAACCATGCAGATCTGGCACAGACAAGGCACGAAACAATACTTAACAACAGACCCAGGCCCACTACTTCCATTGAGAAGCAACCCAGATTTCCTGGCGGGGGACCAGGGCCCAATCCTGGGCCTGGCCAGGTACATACCAACCCTGCGCATAAAAGACATAATTCAGCACCCGTTCGCCATCCGCCCGATGACCGAACTCTTTCCTGACCAACCTCACACGTGCGCTGTGCACACAAGACCAAGAACCAACCCGGGCCATATCACAGATATATTGGGCCATCATAACGAACAGAAACCTACTGGCACCCACATGCATCAGACACTGGGAGGAGGACCTGGATGAGCCCATGACAGGCTTCTCAACACAGCCATGGCAACCATCCCCATCTTCTGGAGACAGACGTGTATGCCGCCCGTGAGACGATGGGTGGAGGAGGTGGAGGACATGAGGAGGTTCGAGGACATGAAAGCGACCACCCCAAAACACAGAGACAACTACATAAAACGCTGGTTCCACTGGACACGCAGCCTCACCTTGGACGACTTTTTACAACACATCACTGAACCATGAGCAGGAACGCAAGGGGAGACGAGGCGGGGCCCCCGGGAATGGCGGACTGGAGTGTCAGGGGTCGGCGCAGCCCCGCCGACCCACGAGACCCCCCCCCTCCACTCCTCACCCCGCACGGAACACCACATACAGATCAAGGACCACGAACACCAACAATGACCTGGACACATCAACATACTACCCTAATTGCACACAAACAGAACCCGGGGCACTGAGCCAGGGGACCACACACCGCCAAATGACACCAAACACGCCACCACTACCACGAAACGTAAAATCAAGACTCATGGACACCCACGACACCACACACAACCCAATCACTACCTAAAAATACGATCCAGATAGGGTAGCCCACATAACCACAATAAACCGGGATGGAACAAGGCTCAGTGGGTCATAGAGAAGCGCCCCATTTTATAGACCAGGGGGAACCAACACAAAATAAACCCACCCCAGCTACTCTGACTCCTCACACTGGGGAAAAGCAGACATACGACAAGCAAACAGGCAACTACAACACCACCAGTAGGACTACACCCACACCGAGACACTCGACTAACTACCAGCCGACATTAACCATAGCCACCGAGTCACGGACAAACAGAGAATACACATAAACATATGAGCACCAGCCAACTACAATGCACCCTATATAAGAACTCACAGATATGACCACAAAACCCGCATGCCATATGATAAGTACCCACCAGCAGGGCTCTGACCCGACATGCTGTAGGTGCCGACAACCACAGATACTGAGTTAACTAAACCGACAAGCAACACACCAGGACATACAGCGCGGCAACAACTCAGATCGCCCGGGCTAACCCTGACGAAGAATCACCTTAGAAGGTAACAGCACCCTAGATGACCCAACTACACACACGGGTCACCCCTCAACAAGATCAAGCTCATATGACCAAGCACCCAACGACTAGAACACTCTGAGCTCACACACTTAACACTATAACCCATTCGCACGCCACGCGCTGAACTATACACGGTGTCACGTGCGTGGGCTATAGGCCCAGCCGAGGTAGTGGGGAGAGTGTGGAAGTGACAGGGTTAATGACACCAGACACAAGCAACCACTCAATTAACCCCTGCAATCCCTTCTACACTAACACCCTTAGTACATACTCTACTGCCACCACCAAGACTTTTAAACCCGGGCGTCTTAGGTTACCCCACACACAGGAGAATTATAGAATCACAGTTCTACTTTTACTGATAAAACATATATAGTTAACCCTTTTTGGTAATGTGTTTACCTGAGCTTTTCTCTGGAGAGTGAAGCTCATAGAGAACAGAGACACAAGCTGATTAAGTAAACATTTAATCTGACAAAAAGGATTCACAGTGCTGAGTACAAAATACAGAAATAAATGACATACAGATAACAAATTGCAAAACAGTACATAAAATAAAATAGGAGAAAACACAAGAAATTCCTTACATATATTTACACCATATAGAATTCTTGTGGGAGTCTTAGATGGTATAGGTCTCCTAGAAGTTACTGACAAAAGAAAAATGAATAACTGACTTCCCTGGATAGTCCAACACCCTCATATATCTAAACTAGTTCTTTCTCAGTGGGCAGACCCCTGGGGGGGGATCAGAGGGGGCTGGTCTGGCAGTCTATTGCCCACTCTATGAAATTCCTTGTGTCCAGCTCTGGTGATGGCTATCTAGATGTTTTATGGTCTAGGCCTGGTGCAAGATCAAAGACCACAATAAATGTCATCCCAAGGTTTACAAAAAAAACAACTCTTAACATATATAAACACACATCAAACACCAACTCATGCTTTTGGCATGACACACGGTTACATACGTTTTGTTCCTTTTAGTTAGTAGAAATAGACCTCCATCGAAAGCAACCAGGTTATTGCACGGGTAACACATACAACTCTATGGAAATGCAAAGTAATGCCTTATATAGCCACTGTATAGGCACATATGCTAATGCCCTTGCTAAACGAGCAGAGCCTCTGCGTAGGCAATGATGCAGAAACAGTTTGAACATGTTATGTGTGCGCTAAAACTATGCCTACAAAATAAAAACCATTTAACACAAATGATCTAATTGCGGCTAAATCCAAAGGCCACTACTCTATACTAATCCTTGTTGACCTCTCTGCTGCATATGACACTGTAGATCATAGCCTCCTTCTCCCAACCCTGCAATCTCCTGGTCTCTGTGACACAGCCCTCTCGTGGTTCTCCTCCATTCTCCTTAAACCCATGTTTATTAGTATAACATCCACTAATATCCAAAGCCATGTTTAGCTCAAACATATGAGTATACTTGAAGGATGTGTGTTTCACGAAGGCCATCATCCTTGCTCCCATCCAGAAATGAGAAAAGAAGCAGTCATGGTTGTATTTCTTCTATCAGCAGAAGACAGACAGCAAGGAGTTGCCAAAACTTGGAATTACACCCATTAAGTATAGTTAATAATTTAGAACGTTATCTTTACTGTTGTAATGTTTCAGGTAGAAAACTGTCTAGTGTCAGCCATGAAAAGTAGGCAATGTCTTTGTCTTTGCTTCTTATTATAATACGAGTTAATTCACATGTAGTGCTAAAGACCATGCCTTTCTGGAACACAATGCGTAGGGAGCACGAGTGATGTGGAAGGTGGCATAGACACTTTGATAACCACTGTTCTATAGTTACCTTCACAGCAGAAACAAGAACTGATGGCGATGACCAAGTCAATTGTCAGGTTTCAAAACTGACATGTAAGACTTTTTCGTTTATTACTGGCCCTTTAAGTGAACTTCATGATTTTCTCCTCTAGTGGCCTCCCTAGCCACTAATCTATTAACTCACCTTAATAACCTCACCTGGATTAACTAATTAGGAGGCTTGACATTGAAAGTCTATGCTCTGATAAAGAATCTCTGTTCCTGGTAATATCCTGTATTTTATCTACATTATTTCATTCTGCATTTCCTCATACTGAAGGGCACTAACCTGCATTACTTCATTCTGAACTTGCCTGAATTACATCTTACTGAAAGACTTTCCTTATCAGCTTCCAAGAATCCTGATTTGTGGCGTATTGCCTTCATTAAGGAATCTTAACTGCTTCAATTGCTGCATCACTGCATGATCTCGTAAGCAACCTGCATTATATTATTTTGGAATATACCTACCTGTTTCAACCTCTGCAACTCTGCATGATCCTGTATTGTCTTATCCTAAAAGGTATTTACCTATAACTAGCTGCATTGCAAAGTATCCTGGAAATCCTTAACTACTTGGTATAACTTCAAGCCTGCTTGTATACAAAATACTTTATTCATTTACTTTCTAAAGATCTTGTTTGTGGCATATCGCCTAAACCCTGTTTTTTCTCACAAAGTATCCTGTTTGTGGCAAACTGCCCTTTATTCTTTTTTTCAGTAAATTTGTTATGTCTAATACGACAAATAAAGTTTTAACCAATAACCCTTGCAATCGTCTCCTCTCTGACCTGCTCAGGAGCATGACATCAATGGTTAAATAACCTGCAACTCCGTTATAAATAGTACACATCTGTTGCAACTAGTGTCAGAATTCATCAACAAGTAAAATGTTACATTTCACATAAAAGTTAAAGGACCACTATAGTGCCCCCACCCTCAGGGTCCCACTCCCTGCCGGGCTGGTTGGAGAGGAAGGGGGTAAACACTTAACTTTCTCCACCGCTGGGCTTTCTCGGTGCTGGGGACTCTCCTCCTCCTTTCCCCGTCATCGGCTGAATGTGCATGCGCGGCAAGAGCAGCGCGCGCATTCAGCCAGTCTCACAGGAAAGCATTCTCAATGCTTTCCTATGGATGCTGGCGTCTTCTCACTGTGAAAAGCACAGCGAGAAGCACGGAGGCGCCTCTAGCGTCTGTCAATGAGACAGCCACTAGAGGCTGGATTAACCCATTTGTAAACATAGCAGTTTCTCAGAAACTGCTATGTTTACAGCAGGCAGGATTAATCCTAGCTGGACCTGGCACCCAGACCACTTCATTAAGCTGAAGTGGTCTGGGTGCCTATAGTGGTCCTTTAATATTTTAAAATAAAATAAAAAAATGCAAGGGAAACAAGGTGACCAAGGGAAAGTGGTTCATAAAAGGTAAAGGTCAGCGGAGTCTTTCAATTTATGAAATGATGGAGAATATGTCTGAATGATCAAACATAATAGTTATTCTGTAGAGCTAAAGCAATGATGTTGCTAATAGAGAGGACAGTGCTCTCAGGATTATACTACAAGTTATATAGTCTGGAATTTTTGGAACTGGAGTGAAAAGTAGATACAAGAAATGATGGTGGAGAAGGTTTCTCTAGGTACCGTTTATAAAAACAATGGTTTGGCATTGCACGACAATGACCAGGTCACTCATTGATGTGAGTAAAACAGCAAAGTGCTTGTTTTAGGAGAAAAATTAAATTCAATAACATTTTTTGTAAAAGTAATATACTTACTGACTGCATTGTTGTCTTTTATTATGCTCCACTATTTATTTGTAGAAAATACTGAAGCTTCTACTGTCATCTTTGGCAGGCTGTTGACAAATACAGAGCTTAAGATATTATTTGCAAAAACAATTTGGGGATAGCCAATCAACTGCCGATTGCTGAACCACGAGTTGGAAAACAAAAATGTAGGCATCTGATAAATTTGTAATAAATAGATGGGGGGTGTAGTTTACATGGTCGTCACTGCACACGGAGTATTTTTTTGAATATTTCCTAGCAGGTCGTATCAGTGGCTGTTTTGCCCATACTGTTTGTAAATATTGGACTACATTCACACAGGACACCACTTTGAGAATACTTCATTTCATAGGAGACAGGGAATGTTTCTGCTGATGGACATCCACTTATTTTATTACCATGAAGGCTAACTCTGTTTCACTTTATAGCAGCGGACGTTTGTGACCTCGGTTGATTATATAGTGCCTTTATTTCCTTAAGAAAAAAAACACACAATCAATAAATTATAATGTTTGACTTGTGTGAAGTGCTACAGCCCTTGAGAAAGCCACAAAGAGTAGGAGTCCTGCAGACACGTGACAACATGTGAGATATTCTTTGTGTTGTTTTTTGAGGAAACACTGGAGGACACGCTCACGGATTGCCAGAACAATGCAGTGCTGTAAGTCATGGGACCTTTATAGTGTCAGCAAGGGGACTGGATACCATATTTTCTCTCTCTCATTAGGCCTCTGATAAAGGAGACAATGACTCTAGGCAAGAGGAACGGTGTATGGTGATATCGTAAATCTGTAAATATGACTGTTGGTTGTGCATAAGACATGTCGGGGTGTATGGTATGACTGTGAAAAAGTGAATGCGAATTAAAAAAAACTGCTGAATAAAAGTCATTTTGAAAGCAAAACACATAGTGAAAAGACATTTATTAAAAAAAAAAACAATCCACAAATACAGTGTGAACATATAGAAACTGATAAAAAACTATAAACATCTACAAACACAGTAGCATCATACATCTAACGAGTTCCTTTACAGATGCTCCATGAATTTACGCAAAATACACTGTACAACAATAACTGGCTAATGTCAAAGGGATAAAAAATGGTGCACTCACAAAAATGACTCCAATACAATCAGAGAGCTCAACAGGCTAGTAAGGCGTTGGAGCTCAGTAATATGTCTGGTTCCATGAGGCTAATGCCCTCTGCGGCCAGAGAGAATCTGATTGGCCAGATCCTATTTACTGGCACATGCTGTGATTAAATGATACAGGTATTCCTGGAAACACCAAAGACGTGAACAATATCTGGAAATAGAAATCAGGGAGTGTAGTGAGAACTATCAATTTCTGTAAATAGGTTGTGGCTGTGGCAACTAAGAATAAGTATTACCCTAGGATCTTATTGGTGTTAGATTAATAAAGAGAGCACCTGTTTTTGTGTATAGAACACTATATCGAAGACTAAAGAATCCAGAATATAAAAAAATATACTGGTCCAAAATGGGCACATAAAATGAAAGGAGAGAAAAGCACAAATAAGGGTGCGCCTAAGACAAGTAGAATGAGTGTATAAAAATATGTATCAGAGAGTCCAAGCAGCGATACCTAGAAAGTCCGAATATAAATAATCCACATATGCAGGAGGTAGTCCTAGTGCTACATAAAATGGTATGTGAAGTCCCAGATGTATATCCGCAGCTTCAAAATGGATATGTGAAGAAAACAGAAGACAAGGGAAACTCCAATGGTATAGTATGAACGATAAACTAATATTGTATATAGAATAGTAGAACTACTCACAATATTCAGAGCTTAAATCCAGCTCTGGTGTAAATGGCACGTAGTGGAATAATCCCCACTCAAGGATATACGGTGCTCCTCTTTTGTTCTTTAGCAGAGTACTTTGGTGGAGTAGTCCAGCTCGAGGTAAAAGAATAAAATATAGTGCTCACTGTATAGTTGATAAAATGTAAAAACAGAATAAAATATACTTACGGTATATAGAGCAGACGTACTGCTCGGTGGATGGCGTATGGGTTGTATAATCCCCACCTTAGGATTCTTGGTACTCCAATATGGACAAAAAGGTAGTAGTAGTCAGGTCTGAATAAAATAAACTTGCAAATAGTAAAATAATAAAATTATACTAAAAGAAGGTAATATAATACTAAGGTGGAAAGGGGAATGTGGCAACCAAATGTATAATAGCCAAATATTCCTTTATTAACACTTAGATTATATAAAAAGTTCCTATACGCGTTTCGCCACAATAGGCTTCATCAAGTAGAAACTTATAAAATGAAAGCCACACTCTAAGCAATGTAAACAGCTCATTGTACGGGTGATGGGTGCCATCCCCCCACTGTTTGAAGGATTTGACAAGAAAAGGGCTCTCTTGGTGCCTAAAGGCCTACTGTAGCTTCGCTAGTCCAGACATGACCATCCACATTAACAGCCACTAAAACTGAAAACACCACTGTTTACCACCACTAAGCTTCCCTTATATCTGACTTCCTCCTCTACAACCAATGCATTTATTACGGTTTCTTTTCTAGACGACAGCCATGTCTTTATTCAATGTTACAGACCTGGACTCTGCCCACATGTCCTCTTACCTCACTGACAGCACCATGTCAAGTCCTCACTCATCCTGCAAAGTAAACCGACCATAAATAACGTGATTTTACCCCTGTGCCATCACCATTCCCACCATACCATAATCCACTAGTTTCTCACTTTTCACCAAATTGTTACTTTTCCTCCTCTATGCTGACAAGCATTACCTCCACTTTTCATTCTCACATCTTTGTATCCAAAAATATTTGTGTCCTCAAACAACGTTGCTGAAAAGCCAACTATTTGTTTACACAATGTTTGATGCTCCACTGTTCATTCCACTATGAGATCTCATGTAATATTTGTAGCCGAGCGCTAGTCCTGACCAGGACTCTCCTCCACTGGATCCACGAAAACAGGAAGTCTGGAACAAGTTGCTAAAATGTGAATAGCTCTATCCCTCCCCAGTAACTGAACAACACACAGTTCTGGGAGTACAACTAGTTTATTCAGCTCAAACACAGCGTCTTATGCACAGACCCCAAGCATGGAGCCTCCATACAAAATATACAGAAAAACGAATAAACACACACTATACTTGTCACAATGTACAGACAAATGTGACAAGTTGTGTAGTCTGGAAAATGAAAAATAGCCCGATTATAGTAGAATATTCGGTATAAATACACAAAAGCCCATGTTCAAAAATAAATGGAATGTCAAAAACTATCAATATTATATGATAGAAATAGAGTAATTAAAATTGAAAGGGTAATAGAAGTGAAAAATTCAAACAATTCAAAAATGCTCCACAATATACACACATATATAGGCGTAGGAGTAGTTAAGTGTATGGGTTTCTAATATCTATATATGTGAGCTTTATTGTGTCTGGCTCTGTAGATATTGAAACACCATCTATTATAATGTACTCAAAAAAGATATATGTATGTATTGATATAACCCTTCTTGGTAATATATAATCGCATTAGTGCTTCTGATTTATAGATATTCCAATTAATAGGAAAAACAGAGAGATTAATATGCTGCCTGTCAGTATCACTTGTGTATCTCCAGATATACTTCCAATATACCCAAATAGCCACAAACATACATAGCCCAGAGGCTGATTTCAAGGTGGACAAATGTGGAGATTTCCTTGTAATTTATTTGGGATGGAAGTGACCAAATTATGTGTCTATTAGCAACATATCAAAAGGGTTGGGTCTGTCAAAAGGTTAAAGATAGTTACAGGGTAGAGAGAGAAAAATACAAAATATATATATATACATAATGTTATTGATGCTTCCCATTTTAAAATATTCTAATTAGTAGGAAAAAGAGATATTAATATGCTGCCAGAAAGTATGTCAGTAGATTATAAATTATAAATCTCATGTATCTAAAAAAACACAAATAGATCAGAAGCTGATCTCTCCCAAAGGCTGATTTTTAAATTGACAAATATAGATATTACCTTGTAGGTTATTTGGAAGTTACCAAGTTATATATCTGTTGGCAACATATCAAAGAGGTTGGTCAATGACCATGTACCGCTGCCTGTATTTTGGAGACAAAAAAGGATAGGCATAGGGTAGGCGTCCGGCACAGTCTTAACATTTAACCTCTGGTAGTTCACACAGAAACAGGTCGTGTGGTCCCGTTTCGGTACTAGGACTACTTAGGAGGCCCAGGGGCTGTCGGATGACTAAGTAACCCTCAGTTGGATCAGCTCCTAGATCTCCTTTTGCATACTCTCCCTCAGGGCCGCCACTAGAAATTTTGGGGCCTCTAACTTAGCTCAGGGTCTGGGCCCCCCTGGGGGTCCGCCTCCAAGCCCGCCCACAGGGACCACCTCCAAATCCCGCCCACAGGAATACACACACAGACACAAACACACGCACTGATACAAAAGGACACAGATACACACACACACACACAGATACTGAAACAGACATACACGCATATAGGCATACATACTGACACACACATACTGAGACATACACACAGGCATACATAGTGACAGACAGACACATACTAACATACATACAGACACACATGCATAAGGACATACAGACACATACATTCTTACTTTTTCTTTGCAGGAGGGTGGCTGGGTCTGATGGGAGTCGGCGTGGCGCTCCCCCTTTTTTCAAGTCCATGCTGGCTCTCCTCCCACGCGGTGTGAGCTGGGAGGAAGTGACTACTTCCTCCCAGCAGCACTTGCGCTGCGGCTGCATTTGTTTATTTGTTTTTTTTTAAAGGGGCCCGGTTGTGCTATAACACAGCCACAGCGCTGACCGGGCCTCTGAAGTTATAGGGCCCATTGGGTGGCCCTAACTGCATGGGCCACCTGATAGGCCCCAATAACGTGCGGGCCCTGGTGCAACTGCACTGGCGGCAGTACTGCAGCTACACGTGACAATGGTGGCGACCCTGCTCTCCCTAACTGATTCGGTGATTCGGAAAGGGATTTGGCGTAGTGGGAGCTGACCTGGTGTCTTTATGCGGTGAGTGGCCAAAGGAGTATACCTGGGCACGTTCGAGAAGGTGGCTTACTTCTACC